CAAAATTTGAAAGATATACTTTATTCATACTATTGGCAAGATGTTTGTAAATGCTGGGCATTAATAGGGTGTGAAGAAAAGGGCACATTCCTACATTGCTGGTGGGAGTATAAATTAGTCAGCTACTTTAGAAGACAGTTTGGCAGAACTATTAAAATAGAAATACATATACCCAGCAATTCTACTTCTGGAAGAGATAGATACTAGTTCATGTGCCAAAAAGCATATATAAAAATAAAGATGTTGACCACCCATTAAAAAAATAAAACCAGAAACCTCAGTGTCCATCAATAGAAAACTAGACCCTAGATCATTTTTGTGGAATAATATGAAGCAGTTAAAAAGAATGAAAGGGCTAGAGAATGGCTTAAGAGGTAGGGTGATAGCCTACCAAGTACAAGGTTCTGAGTTCAAACCCCAGTACTGTCACCAAAAAGGTTTTATTTTGATCTAAGTTATGTCTAATGCATGCCAGTGACTCATGCCTATATTCCTATCTATTTCAAGAAGCTGAGATCTGGAGGATGAAGGTTCAAAGCTAGCCTAGGCAGAAAAATTCATGAGACTCCATTTCCAAAAATCACAGGAAAAAGCTGACTGGAGGTGTGGCTCAAGTGCCAGAACACCGACAGAGCAAGCAAGCTAAGCAAGTAAGGATAAGACCCTGAGTTCAAACCCTAGTACCTAGTATTGAGTAGCTTGACACTACTATGCAGAGGCAGCTTGAGCCCCACCAGATGGATTTTGCAGGTCCTGAGAGTAACAAAAATGTTTGCTGTGAACACAGGTCTATCTACCCTGCCCCACATGCACACTGAGGCAAGTCTGGGAGGAAGTTTCAGAAAGAGAGGTCTCCTCCCCATTGCTCCAGGGCAGCAGCTCCAAACAGAGGCTGGGGAAGAACGTGTGCTTCCTTTCTGAGCAAAAGAGCAAAAGAAGGTGTGTGAGGAGCAGCCACCTGTGCCTTTCTTCTGGAGCAGGGAGCCAGTGCCAGCCTGTTCCCAACCGACAGTGGCTGTCTACAGCACTGAGGGTTTGGAACTAAGGAGATCATCACAGTAAGCAGGTACACATGTTTGGGACTCAGTACCTTACATCTCACCTGATCATCCCCTTGACCTCAACAGAAGAAGAGCCTTAGTGACCAAAGGACAATTGTAATGTATACCTCTGATCTCAAGCCCTGGCTGGGGCCTCCATCTTGTATGATGTTAAATGGGGAATATGGTATGGCAGATGGGCCTGACTTCAATTAGTATGTGTATATTAATAGTACATTGTGATTTCTACAACAATACTGAAGTCAGGTAACCATTCCTCCTGTCCAACCCTTGGGAATGGGCAATGTTAGTAGGAATGGGGCTGAATCTGCCACGCTCAGGTTGGGGGAGGGTGCAGGGAGCGTTTCCTTCTACCTGTAGTAGCACAGTGGTTCTAGGACCCTGGTAGATCAGAGCCACAGATGACTCTATTGTGTGGGGGGGGGGGCAGGGGAGAGGAGTTGATGTTAAGGTAGACAAAGTACATTTATGTCATCCAACCAACTGGGGTGTGTGTGTGTGTGTGTGTGTGTGGTGTGTTTGTGGTCAGAGTTCTATGAAGTTGGAATACAACCCATCTTTCTATGACAATTGGAAGGGGTGGAGACTACAACAACATATCATTCTAACTGTGACAGTGTATATGTATTCTGATTATCAACTAATCATGGTGCTATATCCTAAGCCTTTTTTCATAGAGATCTAATTCATTATTAGATTTCAGCCCATGCTTTTGTGTGTCACAAAGTAAAATCCTCCCAGCAGAATAAGGTGGAGACTGTCATACTATTTTCCAGACTTAAGTGTGGCATACATTAATGTCAAAATATAGAACTGTTGACTATTTCTCTGTAGCAGAGGGGCCCTGACTTCTGATGATAATCCATATTCAATATTTTGAATTCCTATTTGAGAAGACAGCTCTGGAAGTTAAAGTCACTGACTCCCAAAGTGTCAGATTACTGGCAAATTTCAGTTCGACACAACCTATTGGGCCAAAGACCTCAGATCCCATCCCTCCAGATGCTTCGTTCACTTGGTCCAGGGAACATAGGCTATATTCCACTTGCCAGAGGGAAGTCCAGTCTGCACTTAAGGGGTAAGGAGACTGGGTAAGGGCTGAAATACCAGGAGGCAGTGATATTCAGGGCCATCTTGGAAGCTACCTATACATGCTTCCTTGTATTCACAACATCAAAGAATAAGCACCAACAAGAGGAAAAACAAGAAAGCAGAATGGGAAGGGAAAAACGCTCCAGTATCTAAGTGCTTTATGCTTCTTTCCACTCCAAGAGCCAGCCAAATCACCTGCCCTGTGAGAGAAGCTCTCTTACTATCTCCAATACGGTTTCCTTTCATCCACCAGCACAGCCCCACCGAGGTCCAGCCTTTTATTTCTTCATACCATGAATGTGACAGCATGACTTGCTACAGCAGCCTAATATGCTGAATATTCCAGACACCAGAGCCAAAATAATGTAAGTCACACTTTTATTTTTTACAGTGTGGAAAGCCCCCAAGTGGTTCCCTATTGGCTGACAATATCATTCTTTAGGCATCTATTCAGTGCATTATTTGCCCAAATCTGTCATCCCCTGGTCCCCAGTAATAAATCACAACCCCCAGTAAACCTCACTTTGTTGAGTGAGGTTTGTTTAAAACCCTAGGTTTGTAAACCTAGGTTACACTCAGCTCAAAGCCTCTGATGACGTGATGGGTCTCCCTCCCCTGGCAAGACCAGACTTCCCCTTACCATTGTAAATCCCTCCCAATTTCCAAGCTGCAGACAAGATTCCAGTTGCTCTGGGACATATTTTGTGATCCCTCCTAACTATGTTTCAGGTTCTGCCATGCACTGGCACAGCCCCAAGTGGCCATACTCGCTATATTGCCAGTCACTGCATGTGCCATGCTTCCCAGGCAGCTAGCTGGTAAGTTTTATTCCTTCCTTCTTCCAGAGACCACTAGGCTGCCTCACTGGGAAGGCCAGGATGGGTCTCACTTGTTTTCCCCTCCAGAGGGAAGCTGGTCCATGAGAGGCAATGTTGATTGAGAAGACAGATGGATGTATAGGTGGAAGGACTGGATAGATGGATGAATGAATGGTTGGAAGGGTAAGAGGATGGATGGGTGGTGAACAGATGGATGGGAGTATGGATGGATAAGTGGATGGATGAATGGGTGGACAGGTGGGTGAGTAGGTATACAGGTAGATGGGTTTGAGGATGAATGGACTGTTGGATAATTGGAAGGATGGATGGGTACATAGGTGGGTAAATGGACAGATGGATGGGTGGAAATGTCAAGCACAGTGTCCACATATCAAAAGAGGCCAGTGAGTAGTATTTGTTAACAGTTCAATCCTTAAAGTGGGAATTGCACCCTATGGCATCTGAGCTCCTTTGTAGCCTCTCTAGAGAGGGCAAAAGTAAATGAGACAAGCCCAGTCTCACCAATATCACAGGTAAAGGTAATGGTGTAGCTCCTTCTTCATCACACATCCTAACACTGGCATGGAGTGCCAGGCAAGAGGTGGCACAACCAGGAAGGAATTCAGTGTGAAACTTCAAATCAGCCAGTTGCAGGCGGATGGAGCCTGTAAACCTAGCTACTAAAGAGGCTGACATCTGAGGATCGCTTTTGAAAGCCAGGCTGAGCAGGAAAGTCCCTGAGATGCGTATCCCCATTTAACCACCTAAAAGCTGGAAATGGAGCTATGGTTCAAGTGGTGGATCACCAGCCTTGGGCGAATAAGCTAAGAGACAGCACCCAGGCCTGTACACACACACACACACACACAAAACTAAGTCTCAGCTGGGAACCAAACGAACAAGAGGGAAACAGCAATGCAGAAAAATTTGAGTTGTTCATATATTTTAGGTAATGACTATTAAATTAAAAAGAGATCACAGAAGACCTTTTAGGAACTTTATTACCTACCCCTACGGACAGGAGGAAAATCTGTTAAAGCACCAAAGAAAGGTCCCAGATCCGGAGTCAGCCTAGCGCTCCCCTCCTCTCTGGCTGGAGGGAGCCCGATTTCGGAGGTCGGTGCGGGGATCTTCCGGGCGCCGTTCCCAGGAAGAATCGCCGGGGTCTGTCGGCGGGGCCGGGCCGCGAACCGTCTTCCCAACGCGGCTGATTCGCCGGCGAATTCCGGGGAATGCCGGAGGTTTCGAAGCGCGTTGCAGACGTTGCGCGCGGACCCGGGGCCGCCCGAGCCCGGGCTGGAGTTCGAGTCTCGCGAGCCGCGCAGGCCGGCGTGGAGGTTCCCCTCGCGCCCAGCCTCATCTCCCCCTGCCCACGGGGATCTCCCGGGTCCGTCGAGGTCTCCACCCGGGGAGGAGGCGGGGCGGGAGCTGCCGGCTGGGAGGCCCGGTCGCCGGAGTCCGCTCCCCGGCTCGGGCTGCACACCTGCGCGGCTCCGCCCCTGCAGCCGCGGGGTCCTCTCGCGGAGGGCGCCGCGTCCGGGGCGACCGGGACCCCCGGGGAAGGAGGGACCCGCGGCGTGCAAAACTTTGGGTCCTCCGGCGGCAACTCTGCCGGAAAGATCAGCCTTCCTCGAGTCC